GGTATTGTATTCAGCAACGGGGCTGAGTCCTTTCTTATCGATTGGATCCCCGTCACCAGTTGTTTATGTGCGGTGCGTCTCCAGGGTTCAATCAGCGTCCGGAAGGGAGGCAACACCAAAAGGTGTTTATCCATCGTATAGGCATATGCACCGACCAATTGCATTTCTGATACCCAAAAGTACACTTTCTACGGCGAACTCACCGATCTCATCCGGATAAGTCGAAGCTCCGGCGACTTCAACGCGCAGGTTGGAAAACTGAGTGCATCAGAAGCTTGCCTAGGCGGTAGTTATGCTCTGCTTTGCCAACGAACAGATAATGGCGATCGACTTCTTCGGTTCTGCGCAGACCATCATCTGTTCCTATCAAGCACCAACTTCCGACAAAGCTCTCGACGGACGGCAACGTGGTGCTCCAGTTCAACTGGTACGCTAACGCAAGCCGGCCACACGGAAGTAGGTTACCGTTGGCGTGACTAAGTGCAAAATCGCAGGTCCTATTGGACCACCTGCGTTGAGTCTGACCACGCATTAGTTTTGATGCAGTTCACTATTCGACTGGCTGGTCGGCGACGAATTCAGCAAACTCGTACAGCTCATCATAGACTTTGTGTTCCAGCAGTTCATGCACTCTTTGAATCAGAGCTAATGCGTAAGCTAAGTGCGCTTCTGCGTGGTGATGTAGACGATCAGTGGGATCAAATTAGGCGAGCAATGCATTCCGCAGCGAATGTTGATTGTGGGTCTGAGCCTCAAACTCGTCGAAGGCATTGGATATCTCAGGATTCAGTAGCCCTGATGGGGCAAAAACGGAGAGTCCCGACCTGTCAGGATCAAAATGGAGTTAAGTGGCAGCTCACGAAGAGCGTCAAAGACTGAGAACTGGTGGACAACAATAGCTAATCAAATGGAAGTCGCAGCTGCATTAGGGAACAGTCAAAGACTGTTCTGACTGATGCGCAACACTGGAGGTCAGAGAACCACAGTTGGTGAAACAGTCTGTGATAAGATCGGACAAGCTATTCAGAATAGGGAACAACGGTTTTATCGGTGGGCGGAGTACTCCAACGAACAGTTCAGCTGGCCCTGGTGCTAACCAGACTATATTGTCTGTTGTAGTTGCGGCTTCGTGGGAAGTATGATGTGAACCTCCTGCCTGAAAAAAAGAAAAGCAGCGGGACCGAACGGACTTCCCCCCTCCACTCTTTTCAAGTTTGGAGGCGATGACCTCGTAGACTACATTATTGACCCAATGCGTAACATCTGGTCATATGAGCGCATTCCATTATCCTGATCGGGATCATTGATTGTTCCCATTTTTAAGAAGGGATCTTGCAACGACTGTACAAACCACCATAAGCTGGATCCCAATCGTCACCAAGTTACTAGCCTCCATCATACTTCGACGTCTGACACCGTTCAGAGAGACATCCGTGAACAACAAGCAGGATTTCGACCGGGCTGCGGATGTTTCGATCACTCTGCGTAAAGTCCTCGAGCTACGCCATACGCACCGTCGACCAACGGTTGTGTTCCTTGACCTAAAAAGAAACTTTGACTCAGTTGACCGCGAATCCCTTATCGGTTGGCTTCTTCGCAAAGGAATGCCGCAGTATGAGTTCACTTCACTTACATACCTCTGGTAGCATAAGGGTATACGGCGAGCTGAGTAGATCTTTCGCAACTAGCAGCGGTGTTCGTCAAGAGTGCCCTCTTTCGCCATTCCTGTTCAATTTCGTCATAGACGAAAAAACATTGAGAGGTCTCCAAAATTTAGGTATTGAATGGGCCGCTGCAGAAGCTGTACGGTTTGGAGTACGCCGACGATATCGTTTGCCTGTTTGAATCTATGGAGGATGCGCAAAGAGCATTTGACAGATTAACAAGTTCGGTCGCTCCGTTCGGCATGCTTTTTGCACCTTCAAAGTACAACTTGATGCTACAAGGCTGGGTGTCGCCGAGTTCCGTTCTGGAACTAGACGGTCCGGAATTAGCTGTAGTTGACCGCAT